TATTTTTCGTTTTTTAATTTGAAAGGAAAAAATATGTAAATCTAGGAAAATTCAGAATTAAAAACCGTAGAAGTCAACAGGCAATCGATTTATAATCTTTCTTGAAAATGTTTAACAATCCAAAAGACAATAAATAAAAAATAATCAAAATAATTGATCACCTACATCCTGAAAGGGTTCAAAAAAATAATGATGAAATATATTTAATCTTTATTAACTCTTATGGGTTTTTATATGTCCTATAAAAAAAACGACAACACTTTCTGAAGAGTTAAACAATTTAAGTACAATATTTTTTTTAAATGCACTTACGTGATAAAGGATGTTTCAACAATAATTTTGGACCGATTTTAAATGTGAATTAAAAACATTTTTTCTTTCAGATTTAACAAGTCTTCGGCAAATTCAACTATGGAAAGATTAACAATCGAACAACGTGTTAAAGTTATCGAAGCCTATTACGAAAATGTACGTTCAAACAGAATTTGAATGAAAGTTCCAGATTACATCATCTCTCGAAACAGCGAAGTCAATTGGCCACTTAAATCGTGCGACTTGACGCCTTTAGATTTCTTCCTTTTTGGGATCATTTCAAAAGTAAGGTCTATGCCAGAAGCCAACAATTCAACAGCTGAAGGCTGAGATAATTCACATATTGGTGAGATCGAGGATTTTTAAATGTGAATGCAGAGACATCATCAAATATTTTTTTTTTTTTTGCCGCCGAATTTGGCGGACATTTGGGTGATATTATTTTTCCACACATAATTGCCATGACTTAAATAACATGATCCAATAGAGAAATAAATAAATTTTCACCAATAACACTGATTTATTTATTGCTGACTTTGATCCGTCTTAATGAAACACCCTTATATATAATCCTTCTTAATGAAACACCCTTCATCTATTTGGATTTTTTATTTATTTTATTTTATTTATTTATTTATTTTTCGTACGGACGAAATATCATGTGAAAATTATTTTTATCATTTTATTCTGAAAAAACAAGACATCTTATTGATATTTTCTTTCTGTATATATGTGATATTATGCAATAATCTTCTTTGTTTTTGGAAGGTCGATATATTTTCAAAAATTTTTTCATTCTGTTCAGAAGAGACATTAAGTAAAGTTGTTTTCCTTTGATGTATATATATATATATATATATATTATATATATATATATATATATATATATATATATATATTAAATTTTTGAATAACTTTTTTTTAAATTTTACAATCCAGTATTCTTAATAATTATTTTTTTTTTTAAAAAACGGTGCTCGATACGAATAGTAAGCATAATATTATATATCTTCTATTTTAAAAATATGGTCTCACTGCTACATATATACCATGTTTAAAAACAGAAATCGCATTGAGAATGGAACGGAGATATGGGTTTTAAATTTAATTTTATAATTAAATTTGAAAATTTCATTTCTCTTTGAAACATGGTAATGTTTCATGTAGCGATTCATTGAAGATATTTTTAAAAAAAAAAAAAAAATAATATATATTTAATAATGTGCATTGTGTGTGTATGTGTGTGTTACATGATTTAAATTTCTGCACAAATGTGATATGAGGCTGTTTTTTTTTTATTTTCTTTTTCTTTTATTTGTTTTTTATACAGATGAAATATCTTGCGAAGTTTCTTTTTTTTTTTTTTTTTTTGTTTCTGTACTGACAAAATATTTCTCGTAAGATTTTTTTTTTTTTATTTATGTACGGGGCGAGATACATATATTAGATTTTTTTTTTTTATTATACGTTCGTGATATCTTTCAGAATTTTCCATTTTTTTCTTCCTGTAGCTATTGACGAGATTAATTTATACAAATATATATATATATATATATATATATATATATATATATATATATATATATATTAAAAAAAAAGATAGACCACGTTAAGATTACAATGTTTTTTCATTCAATTTTTTTTGAAAGTAAAGTCTGATGATCCAGAACCCTGTTAAACCATTTATGAATCCATCATGAAATAGACTCATTTACATGGAATCTTAACAAATTTTTTTTTCAAACATATCTGCTCTGAATTTTACATTGAAATCTCTGGATATCATCCTCCTCAGGTCTACCCATAACGGATTACCTAAATTTGCAAACCATTAAATTAATATATATATATATATATATATATATATATATATATATATATATATATATAAATCTGCTTGAGAAGCTTTTTTGAGAAATGTTTTTGTTCTGAGTCTAAACTCTTATTTCTCATTTTTATAGTTTCAAAATTGTTTGTCGATGGTAGTGAAGGTAACAAGGTCAAGAATTCTCCTAGAAAAATCAACGAGATATTTCATTTTGACGTTACAAAAATATCCTGATCTCAAGTTGTTAACATTTACCAGTTAAAAATCTGTTATTAAACGTTATAACATGAATTGACATTTTGGCCAGTTTTGTAAGTCCAAAAACAATGATAAATCAACAATAAAAAAATGTTTATTTTATTTATCAAAAAAAACACACAAGGCATCAAACTGCTACAAAACATTTGAATGTTCCAATCTCTTCTCGAGTTTCCTCTGATTTTATGTGGCGCCTTAAGACCAGTTTTTACAAAGAAAACGGTTAATGATTAAGAAAAAAAAAGAGCTAATTCTAGAAATGTTTTGATAGAATTAGCGAATAAAAGGTATGATAGTCTTCGGTATGCAAATTATCTAGTATATATGCAAGATTACTTCCTCTGGTGTCAGCATAAAAACAACTTTTGATATATTTAAAATACTAGCAGTAGAGCCCGGCGTAATAATTTATTTTAACAATAAGAGATAGATCAAGTATCGACCATCGACTGAAAAATAAATTGACAAAGATTATGGTTTAAGGTTAACAGAACGCATTCTTAATTAGTTTTTTTTTTTTTTTTTTACCAATTGGTTGACAAACTCAAACAAAAACATTGTTTTCAATCGTTAAAAGTCTACCGATTGAATAGAATTTTATTAAAAAGAATTGTCTTGTAAATGGAATTTTTAAAAATTCTGAATGTAAAAATAAAAGAAAAGTTTGCATAAAAACAATAAAAACACTATGATCTGAAAAAAAAGAAAGAAGTTTTGTTGAAAACGGTTTAAAAATTAAGAAATTTTAAAATCCCATATATGAAAACACACACACACACACACACACACACACACACACAAACAACGTGGGTTTTATAATAAGTATAACTCGATATGAGTTGTTTTTTCAATTCTCGCAACAGGGATGATTCTTAATCGTGTTTTCATTTCTAATTTATTAAAAAAATTGTGTTTTTCCAATTTTTTGACACTGTCAGAACCACTGCAAGGTAATTTTACGTAGTCCCTGTGAGGTTGTTGAAACAGGGTTGAAAAGTGTAGGAAATAAGATCCAATAAATAAACAAACACACACACACACACACACATACATAACCGATATTTTATAATAAGTATGATGCTAGAATATTTTATTAGGTTGATGCCAAAAAAACATTTTTCATCCTATATGCATGTTAGAGAATATTTATATGTACTTTGAAGTTATTTAAAGCCTTTTATTGCTTGAGGAATCAAATAAAGTGCGTCGTTTAGACAGTGTTTATACATGCTTCCTTGCGGCCCATTTTTGGTGAAAAAAATGATTTCAGGTTTACATAAGCACAAATAGAAATTCCCATGTAACAGGAAATATATTATTCACAAAAATTAAAATCTAAAAAAAATATAATCCTTATTAATGACTACAATGGAAATCAAATGTAAATGATCTACCAACTTGCCAAGTTGAACTTTGTTCAGTTTCATGTTTCCTTTTCAATCCATTAGGCCCCATCGTGTCCTCAGAAAACTGATAGGCCTTCAGTTATAGAAACTATCTACTTGTTGGCTATTTTTTTTTTTTTCTTACTTGCTCGATTCAGCAATAGCAAAAAAATTAAAATAATCAAGTCCCAGCGGTTAAAAGCCTTGACCGATCCCCATTTGGCCTCTATAAACTATCCCATTCAAAAACTACAAAGCTCGAAGGTTACAATATTTACTGCAGAAGACTTATGGAATTATTGTCTTGTTTTTTAACAGAAAGATTTCTCGTTCTTCCGTGGAACCATTTGGAGAAATCTTTCTTGTAGATGCCTACTAAAAGGAAATATTACACACAACCCTTGCTGCAGAAGACTTATACCAAGAACTCTCTCTCTACAAAACATCTACCCAAGAATTTTTGTTAAATGGGAAACATCCATTTTAGACATGAAAATATATACTATTTTGAACTCTTTTAACCAGAAATAAAAGCTGTTGAACAGTTATTTTGAGCCTTGGATTTTGCCCAGGAGTGTTATACTGGATATTACACTTTCGCACACACACAGACACGCATATAAATACATATGCAATTGGGAAAAATTCTTATAAAAAGGGTCCATGTTGATAATCACTTTAAAAAAAATTGAGAATTTGGGAAAATGGGTTCTATATGAATTTAAATATATATATGTGCTCTTGCTCAGCATATATAAATATAATATATAAAGTGACGAACCTTAGAAAGACTTTAGTAGTGTATGAATAATATTTCATGGCTGAGACGAAAAGTTATATTAAATAAATAAAATTGAGTATGGGGATGAAAAAAGCTGAGAAAACTATAATTTATAAAGAAACCAAACAAAACAGTTAATTAGAATGGCATAATAAAAAAAAACTGATTAAAATTTGATGTTCTTGGAACTCTTGAGAGTACTAGAAACGGTATTCCTGAATTTAAAAATTTCATGTTTATATGGCAGAATCTTTCATTGGCCCAACAGGTAGAAATTGAAAATTATATATTCTAGTTCAATGTAAATTGGTTGCAACATTTAGAAGAAAAAATTACTGAAAAAAACCTGATATAGTTATCTATATGGCATAAAATGAGAAAACTGAATATACATTGATTGAATAAAGAATTTCAGTTTGAAATTCCTAAAAAGTTATCAAATTAAACATTCGCCTGAAGATCGAAAAAAAAAAAAAAACAAAACAAATTGGGGCACTAGTTAAAGTAAATCAGTGTATAATAATTCATGCGGTTTCTACCTCTCCCACTCTCTATCTATTTCTCTTTCATTTCTGTTGTGAATCTCAATATAGTCTGCGCGAAAGACCAAATATGTTGGCATGCATACCAAATGAATTTTTTTAATTTTAAAAAATATTTTCAAAAATGATCTTGAGTTTCATAGTGAAAATATTCAAAATTCCAACGTGGGTGGTGGATAGATAGATAGATAGATATATATATATATATATATATATATATATATATATAAATTATTATATATATAATATAAATATATATATATATATATATATATATGAAGAAAAATATACTGAAAAAACAAACAAAAATCCTAATATGCGATTATGCTGTTTTAATGTTTAATGTCAACGTCGGACGTTTCGGTCTAATAGACCATCTTCAGGACATATTCATAAAACATAATTAACATAGACCATATACAATTCAACATGAAAAAGACGATGGACATAAAAGCAATACCAATCCAAACAGATAACTGAAATCTTTTATAAGATCAGCGTTCCGTTTAAATATGATCACGTCGTCGTCACGTGGGCGATGTTGTGAAAAAGTATTCCTAAAATTTGTGTATTTTGAATGAAAAAGTATTTTGAATGAAAAAACGAAAAGAATTTTATTTTGAAATATAATATACCAGATGTTCGTTTAATCGAGCATCCGACGTTGAAATTAAACATAAAAAAGCATATAACAATTAGGATTTTTGTTTGCTTTTCAGTATTTTTCTTTATATATATATATGATATATATATATATATATATATATATATATATATATATATGAAGAAATATAGTTTAAGACGTGCTATATTTATGGGATAAAGTGCTCAATATAGCGATATATATATATAAATATATTGAATTAAAAATACATTTTTCAGATATTTTTCATTAAAAATGCAATCGTCAATATATGACGATTGCATATATATATGAATACTATATGCGAATATATCTTATTATATATTCAAACGTATATATATATATATATATATATATATATATATATATATAAATATATATATATATAAATAAAATTTGAATAATTTGAAAAAACGAGAAATAGATAGGGTGGATAAACATATATAGGATCTTTTTAGAGAAATAATAAGAAAAAATAAAATAGAAAATAAGATAAATATATATATATATATAAAGGAAGATCCATGGATTGATAAAAAATGATAAATTTTTTAATGATAAAAGACTCGAGAGAGAGGGAGGGAAGAGGGTAGATAGAAATAGATAAATGGAGATATATAGATAAAGAGAGAGAGAGAGAGAGAGAGGGAGGGAGGGACTTAGAGGAGTAGAAAAGGAGAGAGAGAAGAAGATGGAGAGATAGAAATAGATAAACAATATATAGATAAAGAGAGAGAGAGAGAGAGAGGGGGAGGACTTAGAGGAGAGAAAAGGGAGAAAGAAGAAGATGAAGAAGATGGAGAGATATAAAATAAAGAGAGAAACAAGAGATATAGATAGAGAGAAGAAGAAGATGGAGAGATATAAATAGATGGAGAGAAGAGAGAGAGAGGGAGGGGAGGGACTTAGAGGAATAGAAAAGGAGAGAGAGAAGAAGATGGAGAGATAGAAATAGATAAACAATATATAGATAAAGAGAGAGAGAGAGAGAGAGAGAGAGGGAGGGAGGGAAATTAGAGGAGTAGAAAAGGAGAGAGAAGAAGATGGGAGATAGAAATAGATAAACAATATATAGATAAAGAGAGAGAGAGAGAGAGAAAGATTTGAACAAGAGGAGGGGGATAAAGAGGATGGAGAAAAGGAGAGAGAAGAAGAAGAGAGATAGAAATAGATAAACAATAGAGGATAAAAAAGAGAGAGAGAGAGAGAGATAAAACAATAGATATTAAAGGGAGGGAGGGACTTAGAGGAGTAGAAAAGGAGAGAGAGAAGAAGATGGAGAGATAGAAATAGATAAACAATATATAGATAAAGAGAGAGAGAGAGAGAGAGAGAGGAGGGAGGGACTTTTTAGAAAAAAAGAAATGGAGAGATAGAAAATAAGATAAACAATATAGAAAGATAAAGACAGAGGAGGGAGGGAAGGAGTAGAAAAGGAGAGAGGAAGAAGATGGAGAGAGAAATAGATAAACAATATATAGATAAAAGATCTTAGAGAGAGAGAGAGGGAGGGAGGGACTTAGAGGAGTAGAAAAGGAGAGAGAGAAGAAGATGGAGAGATAGAAATAGATAAACAATATATAGATAAAGAGAGAGAGAGAGAGAGAGAGAGAGGGAGGGAGGGACTTAGAGGAGTAGAAAAGGAGAGAGAGAAGAAGATGGAGAGATAGAAATAGATAAACAATATATAGATAAAGAGAGAGAGGGAGAGGAGAGAAAAGAGAGAGAGAAGAAGGAGAGATAGAAATAGATAAACTAATATATTGATAAAGAAAAGGAGAGAGGGAGAAGAGAGAAACAGAGAGAAGAAGATAGAAATAAAAAGATAAACAATATATAGATAAAGAGAGAGAGAGAGGGAGAGACTTAGAGGAAATAGAAAAGGAGAGAGAGAAGATGGAGAGATTTGAAATAGATAACTAATATATAGATAAAGAGAGAGAGAAAGAGAGAGAGAAGGAGGGACTTAGAGGAGAGAAAAGGAGAGAGAAAGAAGATGGAGAGATATATTAATATATAAACAATATATAGATAAAGAAGAGAGAGAGAGAGAGAGAGATAAGGGTTTGTAGAAGGGAGAGAGAAGAAGATGGAGAGATTGAAATAGATAAAAATATATAAAAAGAGAGAGAGAGAGATCTTATAGGGGAAAAGGAGAGAATGAATAGAACAATGTAATTACATTATATAAAATATATAAAGAGAATGATACTCTTCTTAAAAAATGTTGTTAAATAATAAATATAATATTAAATTATATTCAAAGAGTTTTAAACATATATATATATATATATATATACATATATATATATATATATATATATATATATATATATATATATATATATATATATATATATATATATATATATATATATATATATATGAGGGATATATATATATATATATATATATATATATATATATGAGGGACATATATATATATATATATATATATATATATATATATATATATATATAATATATATATATATATGAGGGGATGTATGTATATATATATATATATATATATATATATATATATATATGAGGGATATATATATATATATATATATTATATATATATATATATATATATATATATATATATATACCATATATATATAAGGGATATCTATCTATTCATTCATCTATCTATCTATTCATTATATACATATATATATATATATATATATATATATATATATATATGAGGGATAGAAAAGGAGAGAGAGAAGTAGATGGAGAGATAGAAATAGATAAATATATATATATATATATATATATATATATATATATATATATATATATATATATATAGAGAGAGAGAGAGAGAGAGGGTGGAGAGACTCATTTTATAGTCCACCAAAGAAGGGTTAACCCATTAGAAAGCTCAAAATATTCAATCCGACTATAAATATTCAATCTTCTAAACTTTTATTTCTATTGTTACCGTAATCTACCGATCTTTTCTACGGCCTTCTTGTTCATGAGTTCTATCTGCTGAGAAAGATAGACTCTCTCACATTCTTTTTTCGATAGTCGTCGTCTCAAGTGCGTGGTTGACACACCCATAACCAAATTACCCGAAATCAAGGAATAAGCGTTTCTTCGAACCATTAAGCTCAAGTTCTCCATTATTTTCTGTCGCAGCTCGAAGTAGAACGGGTGGACTTCTTTTCTTTAAGACGGTTTGCAAGGCGGATTTGATTTCGAGGCAGGAACTACAAGGCGGTAGGCTGGTTTGAATTCAGAGTTATCCTTCTTCTAGATTGGTTGCCACCCAAAGCTACAGAACCCAGTCAGTACTGCTATTTTACACATAGCTTTGGAAAGAGAACAGATGGATTCATACCTTTCCCAAAGGTATTAGCACATAAGTGAATGTTATGAAATCGATTGGAATTCGAATTCGGTCCACCGATTCCTGAATCCGAACCGCTATTACTCCACTGATAGTGGAAATCTTGTACACGGAAAATTTAGTAAGCTATTCTATTGCCAATAACGCATGACATTAAACCGCAGAAAGAAACGGCAGCTTACTGCGGGAATATCTTCTGCCATGAATCGAAACAGACATGATTGCCCAAGCGGGTATCACATATAGTACTTGACTTAAAATTCCTAAGAAATTTCATTGAATTGATTAATTTAATTTTAATGCCATGTCTCTTCTTTATGGCGGGGGGGGGTAGTGCAGAGTTCGGTGAATTACTATGAGTTAGTGAGGAAGATGGCAAAATAGTTTCCTATTTCAATCCTATGGCTTTAAATTTAATGTAGTCTTTCTCATTGACTGGCCGCAATTTAACCTGTCGATATATGGTCATTTGGCCAGGTATTAGCGGGATAAACATTTCAGACCTCCTCATATCTATCTATCTATCTATCTATCTATCTATCTATCTATCTATCTTAGTCTGATCATATCTATCTAACTATCTATCTATCTATCTATCTATTAGAAGTGTGAACGATTATGTCAACATACGATGTTGACATCATCGTTCAAACCGTCTGTCACATGCCTTAACGTAATCTATAAATATACCATATCTAAAACATATATTCTATAATATCTCTATATATACGCGTGAGCGCGTGTGTGTGTATGCTGAAATATGTATATATATATATATATATATATATATATATAGATAGATAGATAGATAGGATACATAAATATACATACATACATACATACATAGAATAGTTCATGAAAACGACACACGCCAATATAAAGGATCAAATATCAGAATAAAGATTTGGGTTGCTGTGTGGTGCCAACCTACTTCATATATATATATATATATATATATATATATATATATATATATATTAAACAACAGACTTTTGAAACTTATTCTCAATACTTATATATGCTTTTCAAAACTGAGGACAAAAATAAATTATTCTCAGTATATATATATATATATATATATATATATATATATATATATATATATGTGTGTGTGTGTGTGTATATTTAGCTTACTTCATGAAAGAAAATTTTAGCAATGCATTGCAATTCTAAATTATTAGAATTTTATGTTCATATATACGTAATATATATTATATATATATATAAATATATATATATATATATATATATATATATATATATATATATATATGTGTGATGTGTGTGTGTGTGTGTGTTTGGTGTTTCTGTGTCTGTGTGGGATTGTTTCGTTGAATATTATAGACATGGGATATTTGATCAATTTTTTATTGACTTTTTCTTGTATTCTTCAATTTTTCCGTTCGGTGTGGGTTTAACTACCAACTCCTTGAAATCGAAAACGCTTGAGACAATAGACATTAGGGACAATTTTACACTTCTTTAATTTCACCAATACGGAAAAATTAAAGAATACTAGAAAAACTCAATAAAAGTTTCAAACAATCTTCCCTGTCTGTCAAATTCAATGAAACATGAAGGAAAGAACAGTTGCCACACACACACACACACACACACACACACACACACACACACACACACACACACATATATATATATATATATATATATACACATCACATATACATCACATACACACACACACATATATATATATATATGTGTGTGTGTGTATATATATATATATATCACATATGTGTGTGTATATATATATACATACATACATACACACACACACACACACACACATATATATATATTTATATATTAGGGTTATGGCTTTTTGCAAAATAATTGATTTCCTGTATCATATCTCGATGAACTTTTGTTCAAAACTAATGAAGAAGAGTTTAATTCAGTCCATTTTTTTTTAAATTTCAACCTTAACACGAAATTTCTAAAATCGTCTATAAGTATAGAAGTACTACGATTTTCTGCTGGCATCTAGAACTTTCTGAAAGCTTCTAGAATATTCTGGAGCCTACTAGAACTTGATTTTGTTTCTTCGTAAGTTTATATGTTAAGCTATAGCTATAAACTGTTAAATACGTCCAAAATACATAAGTACAATTCAATTACATCATTAGCAAATTGAAATATAAAGCTTTCGCGTGTTCGCCATTTTTTTTTTTTTTTGAAAGGTTGAATGTTATGTTATAGCTATAAACTGTTAAATGCGTTAAAACTACATAAGTACAATCCAATTACATCATTAACAAATTGAAAAATAAAGCTTCTGGGATATTCAGACTTTTGTCACTTATTGCGTATATGGTAAAATCGAATTCTCGGTTGGGTTTTTCAAGAAGTAAAATAAATTAATAGCTTTTTCATTACTTTTGAACAAAAGTTCATCAACTTATGTTATGGGAGCATAACGTTACAAAAAAGTCATAAACCAAATATATATATATATATATATATATATATATATATATATATATATATCGTATTTTTTATTTTATGTTTCTGATATAAGGGGTTTTCTATTATTCATTTAAATGTTTCTGGAACGTGTTGTGTCTTTATTATCATTGATATATAGATTCGTGTTTAATATGTAGAATTGCTGCCACAATGTGGACAGGTCTGGATACCATTAGTAGCATTCGAATTACTGTTCTTGGTCTGCTCTGACGACGAGATCTTCTTCGGCGTCAACTGCTTTATTTTTTCCAGGAACGAAGTTGCCTTTTCTTGTAAAGCGGGCGGTACCGAGAGAGGGCGCTGCGGCGACACAGATCTCGCTGGCGACTGCTGCTGCTGCTGTTGTAAAAGAAATTTTTTCTAAATTAGTTGAAGCGAGGCGTTTTGCTTCTGCTGCTGCTGCTGTTGCTGCTGCTGCTGCTGCTGCCTCTGACGATCTTCTTCTTCTTCGAGTTGTTCCTGGGATCGTTGCTCGATGATGCCATTGGTTCCCAGATGTTCCGGTGTGGAATCGAGGATATCCTCGACCTTTGTGTCGAGCGAGCCTTGCTTGAACCTCGCCGTGCCGGTCGACATTCGCCGACCGGGCAGAATGGAGGTGAAGTCCAGGCTGTGCTGCTTCGCCTGGTCTTTTAGTTTGATACCCCGTCGCGGTGATAGCCGAATGGGACGCCCATCGATATCGCTGCTCGCTAGGTGGCGTGCGAACTCGACGATCGTCTCGTTGTTATCGAAGATGGCCGCGAAACTGCCGTTAATGAATTTCGGGGAGCAGGGCACGTGACTCAGAATGAGGCTCATGCCAAAATCGCGCCTCTTCATGGACAGGGTTCGGGTCGGCTTCGAGACGCTCTTTTCGGCCGGCATTTCTTGAATTTCCTGGATTTCCTCGTCTTGTTTCTCCTTGTCGTCAATCAGGACAAAATTTTGCAGAACTTCGGTAGCCGTCTCCTGGATGACCTGAAAATCTCCCCGGATGTCGTCATCAGTTGTGTATTGCGAGGTGACCGTGAAACGGATCACATATTTGCCCTTGAAAGAAGCTGGGACCATGTGTACCTTGCCTGATTTATTCAGGGCTTTCAAAAGCTGTTCGGTCAGTTCATTTTCACCCTGAAAAAATAAAATAAAATAAAATAAAAAATAATAAAAAACAAGAAAAAACAAAACAAAATAAGTTGCAAATTTTATATAAAACGTCTCCCTCTTTTGAGAAGCATTTTCGGAAAAGAACAAGCTCCAGATATCGAGAAAAGATCTCACCTTTTGAGCTGTTAGATTTTATAGCAAAATATATACATTTACAAACCTTAGCTTAGGCGTGACAGAACGCCGCAATTATGGAGCACCGAATGAAGTTCAAACTCACTACCCAGCTGTAAACCCATCCAGGTACTGACCACGTTCGACGTTGCTTAACTCCGGTGATTATACGGCAACCAGTGTTTCACCATGATGTGGTCGATAGCCATTTCTAACCGCACATCCAAGATTATGGCACCTGGTATTCATAAGCGGTCACCCATCTAGTTACTGACCAAGCTTGACGTTGCTTAACTTCGGTGATCGTACAGGAACCGGTGCGTCAGCGTTATGTGGCCGTAAGGCATTTCTACCCACTCATCAAAGCTTACAGCACCTGGTATATCTCAGGCGGTCTCACATCCATGTAATGATCATGCATAGCGTTGCTTAACTTCGGTGATCGTACAGGAATCGGTGTGTCAGCATGATGTGGCCGTAAGCCATTTCTACCGAGAACATCCAAGCTTACAGCACCTGATATATCCCAGGCGGTCACCCATCTACGTAATAACCAGGCTCGACGTTGCTTAACTTTAGTGATCAAATTAGATATTGATTTGGTGAAATCATTTTCTTACCTTGAGACGGAAGACAATCATCCCCAGGTGTCGTTCGGCAGGTATCTCAAACCTCGCATCGTTGTTAACAAGGTTTTCGAAGAGAATGGCTAATCTAATGCCCTGAAAATATGGAAGAAAGCATTCGTTAGAAATGAAATTAGGAGGCAAGAGATGAAAAAAAGTAGTTTCACCCAAGGTGGACACTTAGGTCAACGATCAGCGGCGGGAGTCTGTTTCATGCTTAAATGCAATCTACAGGCCATGTGTGTCGTGTTTTGGCTTGACAATTTATATATCATTAATCAACAGATAAGGAAGAAAAAGATACAAATGAGTAACTAGATACTATACGCCCAAACACTAAATATGATAACAGCGCAATGTTTTATACATACAACATTTATACATATATATATATATATATATATATATATATATATATATATATATATATATATATATATATATATAAATGAGGAATCTAAATGAAATAATAATAAAAAAAAAAAAAAAGAATATTAAGTTCTACAACCCAGTGTGTCTGAAGATTTTAATTTTTAATTTTTTTAATATTTTGAATTGTTCATATATATATATATATATATATATATATATATATATATATATATATATGCTGTTCGATAAAAGTGACTCACCTGATTTTTTTTTACTAAAAATTTTTTTTGTCTATTGTTTTTGGGGTTAAAATAATTTTTAATCTTACTAATATAAAGACCCCTTCCCAAGCACCTAGAAAAAAAAAGTTTATTCACCCTAAGGTATTCTATTGATAATTATAAATTTGGATATAAATGAGATTTAGGGAAAAATTCTGTGCAAGAAAAGTGACTCAGATATCGCATTCTAATGATTAAACTGGTAAATTTAAAGAGCTTTTGAAAAAATATTGAAAACTATTTTACAATACACTCAGAACAATATTCTAGAGAATTCTAGAACAGCTTAAATTAAATCTAGAGTATTCCAGAATATTCCAGAAAGCCTCATACAGGATAAAAACAGCTTGAAATAGCCACTCAAGTCACTAACCAGATGAAGGAGTACAAACACGTATCAGAACCGCATAAGGCAGCTATTATTGCCCTCTCAAAAGCAGGCAAGTCTACGAGAGAAATTGCAGAAATTGCTATAACCTCGCAATCAACTGTCTCTTGAGTGCTAAGGGCACATAATGATGCCACTCTGCCCCAAGGAAGGAAACAAGGAGACGAAAGAAAAAGATTGATGATAGAACTGACAGGGTAATCAAGAGAGAAGTTGCAAAGAATACGACTATAACTAGCCAAGAAATTGCAGCCAGTCTAAGCGAAGAGCAAGGTGTTAGTCTTGCCTCTTCAACAGTCCATAGGTGGCTGTTAGAACAAGGCTACATATCTTGTACACGAAGGTTTAAGCCGCTAAAAAGCAAAGCCAGCAAAACCAAGAGACTTGAATGGGCTCACTATTACAAAAATTTCACCATAGAAGAATGAAAGAATGTTCTCTTCTCCGATGAAAGGAAAGTTGAGCTAAATTCAAAGGATAAGGTGAGTCACTTTTATCGAACAGCACTGTATAAATATATGTATATATTTTTAAGCATTCAACCCCAAGCAAGGCGGGAAGCCACCAGCACGCAAGGGGTTACTGAGAGTTGGAGCGAGAGCAAAGAGGAGTGATAGAGGAAAGGATAGGGGATAGATCTAGAGACGTCGATTGACATTGCATTTGAATAGTTGGAGATTATATCTATCAGGGAAACAAGAAATGGGGAGGAAGTTCCGCAGGCGAGAAGTGCGAGACATGAAGCAATTGGAGTCGAAGAGACGGCCACATTTAACAGTTTCGACAGTGAAAGGGCGAGAGCGAGATGCCAGCCTAATAGGACGCTTAAATTCATGAAGTCTGGGAACCAGCGAAAGCAGCTCATCGGAGCAGTTTCCGTGAAAGTATTTGTAAAAAAGACAGAGGGAGGCGACTGCACGTCTGTGAGAGAGCGACTGCAGATGAGATGCCAGATCAGGGCCAATTACATTGCATATCCGTCTCGGGATTTTATCAAGGACCTTGAGATAAACAGAAGGGGCTCCAGACCATATATGGCAGCAATACTCCATGCAAGGGTGAATGGTTGATTTGTAGATTTGAAGGATTGACTCCGGCGAGAAATATTTCCTGGCGTGGCACAGGAAGCCGACTTTCCTTGCGGTGGACGAAGCTATGTCTATATATATTCAATATATATATATATATATATATATATATATATATATATATATATATATATATTAAATATTATATATATATATATATATATATATATATATATATATATATATATATATATATATAATATATATATTTTAAATATATATATATATATATTTTAAATATATATATATATATATTTTAAATATATATATATATATATATTTTAAATTTTAAATCAATTAATTTATAATAAAAAAAAAAAAACATATTTTAAATCAATTAATTTATAAAATATATATATATATATATATATATATATATATATATTATCTTGTCAGCTGTCAGTATACCACATAACACCCTTGAGTGCTTAGCCTTGGAGCGGATAGAATGGAGATCAACGTGTTTTTAGTGAACTCCGCATTTTTTTAATCTGCTTGTTTGAATCATCTTTTTCATCTGAGAATATGATCTAAAAGGTCGGCCAATCTAACAGTGACCTCATCTCACAATCCTTACTCTTTCTCCATATGCGGCCTCCTTTGTAAATCACACCAAGCAAGGCGGGAGTGCTACTAGCATGCAAAGGGTTACATAGAGTGGGAGCAAGAGTAAAAATACATGACAGAGGAAAGGATGAAGAGATGAACGGGGGATTATATCAAGGCATCTAAAGATGTCGACTGACATTGCATTTGAATAATTGAAGATTATAGCCATCAGGGAAGCAAGTAAGAGGGAGGGAGTTCCTCAGACGGGAAGTGTGAGACATGAAGCTATTGGAGCAGAAGAGATGGCTACATTTAACCGTTTCGGCAGTGAAAGGGTGGGACTGACATGCCAACCTAGTAGCACGCTTAAATTCATGCAGTTTGGGAACCGGCGATAGTAGATCGTCGGAGCAGTTACCGTGAAAGTATTTGTAGAAAAGACAGAGGGAAGCGAGGTAAGAAATAGCCTCTAGAATAATTAGAAGCATAGCCGTTACTGCTGACTCATTAACCATGGGGGTAATACAATAGCACCATAATGCACATTGACCAGCATATATAAATAGTCGAGCCAAAACACAACACAGATGGTGTTTAAACATGAAACATAGCGTTGCCACTGGGTGTTGATTCAATGTCCACTTTTATATTGATTCTAGTTCCTATCCTTGATATTGAGCACTTTAACCCATGAATATAAGTCAGTTATATGCCATGCGTGATACACGTTTAGGCGGTCATGTAGCTTTCGATACAGATTTTTTTTCCCACAATAGTTTGCTATTTCTTTCTGTGGTAGACCAGTCGCCATCCACGGCTATAGAACCCGGTCTGTCCTGCTATTTAGCCATAGCTGGAGGGGAGAAGAAGAAGATTCATACCTTTCACGTAAGCACGTAAGTGAATGTAATGGATTCGAGTGGAATTCGAACTCGGCTCTCCGATTCCTCAATCCGAACCGCTGTCTATTACTCCACTGTGTCTCCTCCCATCAATTTAGCATACCATAAAAAATAAATATAGCATACCATAAAACTATATTTTTATAAAATCTATCTATCTATAGATTAGATAAAATGGATTAAACCTGACAAATATTTTATTATATTTTCTGTTTATAGACTATTTTTTTTAGAGATTTTTTATTAATGACATTTACCGGCCTAAATGTTCGAGAAATTTCGTAGAAAATATGCGTTCCCCGGCAGGAAACGAACCTGTATCTCATAGGGAAACCGTCATATAACCTGACGTGGTATTTACCCATTCAGCTACAGAGAACTTTCCGGTTAGCAAAGTCCAAATTACTTCGTATAAAGACAAAATCTTTTCGATATATATATATTATATATATATATATATATATATATATATATATATATATATATATATATATATATATATATATATCCAAGTATAGGATTGGTATAGACGGAATAAATATATATTTTCCTCCGTTTCTTCTTTGAATAATTTCATAATATCTTAAACTTAATGCAGTGTTAAAATTTCAAATTTGTAATTTTTATTTTAAACTTATATGAAAATTAAAAATTAATCAGAATGATTTCTAATTTAGTCTAATATTAACATTAAGGCATTAATAAATTGCGCCTAAGGATGGTTGTAAAGTGTTTTGAATTATCATATACTTGTATTTTGATTGGTCATTGTAGATTACGTAAGAGTGATTCCACTATTGAGGTGAGTCTTGCTAGATTTGAACTTGCTAAAACTCTTTATTCTGCAATCCACACCATCACTTGAAAAGACACTAGAAGTGTTGAAAAATTACCTATTTTTGTAGTTTAGTTTATGCTATAATTTTTGAATAAACACAATATATATATATATATATATATATATATATATATATATATATATATATATATATATATATATATAAGTACTGTGTGGAAAGTGCTCAATATCAGTGATAGAGCTGACATATTCAGCTGTATGGATATGCGTTTGTGACCTGGATTTAATAAATTTTTACGATCATCAACGATGGCAAAAGCTAGAAACCTAGGATCACAAACTCATATTCATATAACTGAATATATATATATATATATATATATAGATAGATATGATTAATACAAATAATTTTTATCTTCTGATTGATGTTATATTCCTCAACCTGCCTTCAGAATCTCACTGTCAAACTTTTTCTC